CCTCCTGCTCCTCCTGCTCCTGTTCCCGCTCCTGCTCTTGCCTCCTGCTCCTGCCTCCTGCTACTTCTGCTACAACGACTGCTGCTACTCCTATTGGCATGATCATCATCATCCTCTTCATTGTCATCATCATCATCATCAGCTCTCTGCTCGCTGCCCGAAGCCCGCTACGCGTCCGCGTGCTTCATCAGAACCTAGGCAGTGGCAGCTGTCCACGCCTTAGGCGTTAGGATACCGGATTCCGGTTCGTGGACCCAGTATATCCTTCCGCGCAATGCCCGTGGGCTGCCGTGAAATCGTTAACAGGGGAACTGAGATGTCCCTGCACTGTACAACAAGCAACCCGGCTAGTAACATCTTCACTGAATGTCCTGCCACTGAATGAGCCGTGAGCTCGAAGCCCATCAGTGTTCATAATTTCGGGTAGAAATCGTGAGTGTATGCCTATACCTCTGTAATACAGGTTCAGACGTCCTAATGAAATCACGAGCTGAAGTCAAGAGCGATCAAATTGGTCAATATAGGTTCCATCGTGCGCGACATCCGAAGGCCACCATTAAACTGTAAATGTGCTCACCTTGGCATTGGCCGGATTCGGCTCCAGCACTTGGAATGCGTCACACTGCGGTAGCTGCCAGTCTCCGACATGACAAAATCAACATGCTGGAATAATTTCGCACAGGCGCAGTCAAACATTCTGCTCGCGGACGGTGGGTACACTCGGATCGGGCTCTGTGAGCACCTAAGACTTCAACACACTGGTCCAGGTATTGCAGGATGCGTCATCATCATCATCATCACCAACACTATCACCATCAGCATCACCATCATCATCATCATCACCATCATCATCATGATCATCATCATGATCATCATCAGCACAAACATCACCGACATCATCATCATCATCATCATCATCATCATTTCTCCTGATTGCTGTCGTACTCGTAGCATTCGTCGCAGTCATAGTGGTAGCAATTACTATTGTCAAAATTAGCCTCTGCAATATGTGCTGCATACAACTTATTCTTAAGAAAACATGCATTACTAGCCCCAAGATGTACAGGATAAGATTATGCATGATAAGCAACAGCGGTTGTGTCCATGCCTGCTCCAGCCATAGACACTCATGATCGTGCCTCTGTTCGTACAATCGACTGACATCCACAGGTCTCAGTTTTGGATTTTGCGTCGGTGGCGGTGTTGTGCAGTGCTGTCAGTGTTGGTGTTGTTGCTCGTGTTGGTGCCTGCAAGGGTGGCGGTGTTTGTTGTGAAGCTACTGTCATTGTGTTTGCTGCGTTGTTGTTCTTTTTTTTGATAGTTGCTGCTTTTCTTGCCACAGGCTATCACCATGACTCCGAACATTATTTTTCTAAATGTTGGGGGATCATGCTGCCAGCATGATGATGGTGGTACTGTGTTACCTTTTCCAGATTCCGGCGCTGTCGTCCCGAAGCCGAGGAACTCTCCCGCGGTGCTCATTGCCCTTTTGGGCGGTTTCCTGCTTTGCTCCGGTGACTTCATCATGGCGAAAGCTATCGAAGTGCCACCAGACATCAGCTGAACCTGCGTCAATACTCGTAGGGGCTCCGATTCACCTTTCTTACGAGCTTCGGCCTGAGGACAGGGATTTGGGGCGGGTCGTTTTCTGGGCTCTACCTGCTGTCAGACGCCAAGTCTGAGCTACTTTAGGAGAATAACGCATGCGAATTGCTGTCGAAGTATTGCCCGTGCAATTTTCATGTTGCCTCTGCTGCTACGTACTATGTCCTGCTGTTTTGCTATGGGTTCGCTTATTAAGGCCAAATACTAGGAAAGGAGTACACAACGTCAAACGCAGGCCCCCATGACGTGGTTTTGTGTAGGAAAATGGGTACCCTCATCATTAACTTATTAACGGGGCAGCCTGGAACTCTACGATCCTGAAGCCCTTAAACCTTAAGCTATCAAACCCCCAAAGCCGGCTCAGGCTTGGCTTATCTGTCGCATGCCCCATTGGCAGCGGCCTCAGCGCAGCAGCAGCGCAATGGTTGCTAAACCAATATTCCTTCAAAGCCTCCACAATATGCTGTCGTTATTGTGGAGCCCGGGACCCCATTCTGTTCAAGAAGGGGCCGCTGAGGCACAGGGCTCAGGGAGTCCAGCAGTTCATCCCGACTGATATATCAAGAGTGCAGTTGGAGGACAGACGAGCGACGTTTGAGAGAGTGCGACTATTCGGGGTGTGACGGACATGAAGGCGGATTCCGAGATGCTAACAAGCGTTAACCTATCCCACGTGGAGATGGCAATCCCTGCTGTCATCCAGAAGACGAGGTTTTGGGACTGCAATGGTCTTCGGCACTGCCCTCAGCTACTTTCTCGATTCCGGGCCAAAAGCCGAATCCACGCTGCAAAAGTACAGTTTTGGGTTTAGGAGATTGTGGGGATGTTGCTTTTAGTAGCTAGGTCTGTTGTGTTCTCGAGTTATTGAGTTCCTCTGCCTCAAAGATGCCAAGCAAGGATGCAAGGCTCCTCTTTCCTGGACTTGGTGCCTGCCTTTTAGGAAATGTCTGCGACTTGGACTGCAAGTCTGCTCCGCAGAGCAGTGCAATTGAGCTCGAGATTCTAGTAGTTGGGAACCGGCACAAATTCGATTCTGTCAAGATGACTCCCCATGTAAGCTACAGTCAGAATTAGGGATAGCAGAGCCTTGCTGCAAGGCAGTTTTAGGATTCTCAAGAAGGGGTGATACTACTGCCACTGCTGGGGATACAAGTCATGGAGCCTTGTACTTGTGACTCTGTGAGTAATCTTCTTGAGAGTAACTCATGCGTGCTTGCATGTTGCGTGTTCCTTACCCATGCGCATGCACGTTCTTCTGCGTCTACACAGATAAGCGTATTTAGCCTTCCATGAATTGTCGTGTGTACACGTAGGTGCTTGTGCAGGTGTCTGTGCTTGCTTTTGCGTCACTCTTAGTGTACCTCTACGCTCGAAAGCTGGGGCAGTGTTGCTAGGTACTGTCACTTGTTTCAAGCTGGCTACGAGAACAAAGCGGGCACTTGTCAGAATTTCTGCGCAACAGTGAGCCATGTTGCCAAGCAGGCCAGACCTAAGTCGGACATGGTCATGGACATGTCTTCGTGTCCGTCGTGGCATACCCTCGACCGCACCCGGGATCCGGCAAGCTCTGCCTGCAAGGCAACGCCGCTTCTGCATGGGACGTGTCGTGCATCCGGGAAGGCATCGTGCTTTGTGCGCGAGGGAGGGCAGTCGCCGTCATTTGCCAGTTTGATAGTTGAGTTGCGGTCTCTTCGTTAGTTCGCCATAAGGGTCTCTCATTTTGAGTCCTCATCTACCGGTCAAGCATGACAACAAACTTGTGGTCATGGACGTTTAGCAAGCCTTGAACCTTGGCGCGAGATCCACTAATGGAAGAGTTGGACTTGGTACAGAGGCGAGTTCGGCCAATACCCTAAACGCTGAATTCTCCATCGTGGTCGTACAAGAAGAGGCCCTCGAGAACAATCAACGTTTATCTCCTCATCGCATTGGCACAGCAGGGACGCAGGGAGTGATGCCTATCCCAAACCTGGTTGATGGGGACGAGGTTTCTTCTCGCCTAAGGAGTTTCAGCTTTGCTTTCCTGTAGGAAGTGTTTGTGTGCCGGCAAGGCAATCCTTGTATCCGTTACGTTTAAACAGGTTTCGCACGGATTGCAACACATCGTTGGTGTTCCTCGTATCACCACCGCTCCTGTTAAACTATGACTGTTGTCGTTGACTTTGGAGCTTGAACTCAACACTCCAACCAAACTTCCGGTAAGACGGTAGTTTCACATTCAAGCGAGAGACCGTAGTCGGCCATAGTCACAGGCAGAAGTGACAAACCAGTTGTCGGCAGGCTTTGGCAACACCCGGTCAAAACGCCAGATCTCCACTCTGCAACTGGGAGGGCATGACCAAGCGCTTGGTGGCAGCTCCGAGGAAGAAGTTTGCAGGACATGCTCTGCTATGTGCATCCTAGTTTAGATTCGCAAATATTCGCTCCACAAGCACGAAGATGTCAGAAGACTCAGGCAATCCGCCGGCTGCTGGGACATATCCCGTGAAGAGCATCAGTTGGCTGGAACCGGAGGTCTGGTGTCTTTAAGGTGTCTTTGTGCTGTTTCGTGGCAACTCTCAGGGGCTTCAGGGGCTTTGCTTGGGGATTGTCCGATCCTTGCTGGGGCCTTCGCACGCCCGGAGGACCCTTCTCCCGAGGTTGTGGATGAGGTGCCCGATGAGACATTCTGGGTCTGGAGCCCGGACGCAGACTTCTGGAGTCCGGACCTGCCATCTGGGCCTGAGCCTCCGAACCCAATCGAAAAGCCAATCGACAACGCAGATCTCACGGAGACAAGCGCGCACAACACGGACGAGGTCGTGGAATCGAACACCACAGAACCTCAGTACGTGCCCTTGGCGGCCATAGTCTTCTTTTGAACAGTGGTGACGGTGCAACCTTGTTTGACACGACACAGATTGCCGACAAGCCAAAGACAGGAGAGTGTTTGCTCAATCTGTCGAATCTGCAGCAATTTCACTAGCGGACTAGCGATATGTGAACGGAACGAGTTTCATGGTGGCCAGAGGGAGGAAATCGGGGAAACATGGCCGGAAGAGAGACGGGATTGTGGCAAACTTGCCGTTCCTTCAGTGTTACTGATGCGTTCAGGTGGTGAGGTTTCTTTATGGTTCCCCATGAAAGCTCAAATTGTGCACTCGGATGGCTTTCAAATCTTCGGATCCGTTCTGGGCGTCCGCCGAGATGAAAGGGGACAAAGCGATGAACAGCATCCGGACTTTGCCACTGCACAACATGTGCTTGGTTTCTGGGTTGGGTTCAAGCCGGAATACAAGATCCAGGAACCCTCTCCCCTGGTCGCCAGAAGGTGCAGGTCGTGTCAACGGTGTTTGAGTCCGAGAGCTCCAAGTACAAGCGGAGCCTGCACAAGCGTAGCGCGGCCAACTGGGACTTAGACGAGCTGGAGACTCACAGCGCTGCCGCCTTCCTCATACCAATTGCTGCAGGTGCCCAGGCCCAATCTGATGTTCAATGCCCTGCAAGCCAGGGGGACTTTGGTGATTGAAGCCCACGTGTAGATTCATGTTCATAGTGCCGTGTTTCATTCGTAGGTACAGAGTCAGGAAAGAGTCCCAGCCATCGAGGGTGCGAGCTCTCTTCGGCCCTCAATCCCCCCAGACTAGAGCGCTTAGGGTGCATGGAGGTGCCAAGTTTGTGGCATGTAAAGGCGCACGCAGGCTTTTGTGCCAGTACCATTGTGGACATTGCGAGTCCCGAACGGTTTCGATGATGGCACGATTGTGAGGTGCAGGTAGGTAGGTAGGTAGGTAGGTAGGCAGGCAGGCAGGCAGGCAGGCAGGCAGGCAGGTAGGTGGGTGTGTGTGAGAGAGAAGTCTAGTTCTGGTCGTGGGCATGATTCTGCTTCTATTGCCGTGATCCATGACTCTTCTGATAAGGATGGTTTTATTTTTATTATAACACGGATGCAGTAGAAGAGCGTATCTCAGTGGATGAGACTGGCCCTGGCAAAAGTGCAGTATCAGCATCCTTGTGATGATAGCAGCGGCGATGCTGGATGCCGAGGACGACGGGCGATGTTTTTGTCTTGTGTTGCGGTTGCTGCTGATGTTGCTGTTGCTGTTGCTGTTGCGGTTGCGGTTGCGGTTGCGGTTGCGCTCGCTGCTGTTGTTGTTGATGATGGTACAGCAAGCTTTAGCACTCTAAGTCTACAGTCTTTGCTGTTTGAGCTGTATACCAATACCACTTTGACAGAGATTCGACTCTTTGTCTGTCTGATTGCATCAGCACAGTCCAAGGATTCTTTCTCGAGCCTTTGCTGGATGGAGGTTTGACACAGCAATCTGATCTGGAGCTTTAGGATGCGGGTTTCAGTCCCGGGATGCGTTTCTGACCCAATGCTCCAAGCGTCCCCGTAGCCCTCCACCCTCGGATCGAGAGTTAAATCATTTCCGCCCGGTTTGGCAGAGTACAGCAGCATGCGTCGGCTGCATGGCCTGAACCAGAGCAGGGTAAGCTCTTCGTTGACGGCATGACATCGTCGGATATCGTCGGATCTTGGGCGGTAGGAGCCTCATCAAGCCCTAAACTTTCAAACCCTAAACCCCTCGCCCCAACCAAAGGGAAGAACCAAGCTATCCAGGGAAGCCCTGGCCCGATCAGCACGGCCGCGCACATGATTGGACAGCTCACCCCGTTCAGCCAGCTCTTCTGCTTCATGCCTCCTCCCTTGCAGAAGGGCTTTTCCTTGCCTTTCGAGGCTTTGGAGGTTTCGGGATGTTTCGGGTTTGAGGCTCTCGGAACAGCAGCGTGTGTTCCGTCGAAACTGGGAGTTGGAGTGTCAGGCTTCCACTCCACCACCGAGAGAACCAGGAAAGATCGGAAATGCATTGCATTCCGTGGCATGCTGTCCTGAATGTCAGCTGCGGCGATAGTCTGGCTTTTGCTGCCTTGGTCTACATGGTTTGATGGGATTTTTCACGTCCGGTCTTCTCCATACTCACACCGTATGGCCCCCGAACCTAAAACCCTACAAATGCAAAAGCCTCCGTCCCAAACACTCAATGTGTGGGTCAACGTCCAGGCTGTAGCCGATGTGTGGACTCTGTAATGTGGATGTATCTCTGTCAGTGTAGCAATGCTTCACAGGTTTGGGCAGCTCATATCCATCTTTCCCTTGGTGGCGTCCTCAGCATTTTTTGATTGTCGGAGAGGATTGTCTTTCTGCCTTCCACGCTCTCCTGCTCTTTCTTTAGTTTGCGTATGTACAACATACATATATGTTTCTACTACTACACAGGGATAAATAGATCCGTCAAGGATCTTAAAGGTTCATGTTATTGCAATGTACGTGCACTTCAACCTTTCCTGTTTGACGTTGAAGTTATGGGCATGGCTGCCATTGAGGTAGGCCATGCATTGTGCCCAATGCTCTGCTTTCGAAAAAAATGCTGGTGGCGTATCATGTGTTACACGAAGCTATACTATGTGCATGCCAATACTGTACTATATTCGGAAGCGTTGACCAGAGCTGTATTACAGGAAGCCTGAATATGTCTGGATCGGAGATACTCCTGCCTGCTGAGGTTTCGGTCGTCACCTGGGTTTCCCATTGCCACCAGCGCCGAAAGGGCCGCTCCATACTGACGATACCCTGCGCCGTGTGGAGAGGCAGGACCGACTCCAAGCCGAAGGGTTCACGCGGGTCTCCTGGAGACTGCCTCGAAGCTGTTGGTAACTGTACCCCGAAGCACCAAGACCCAGGGCGTGGACTGGCTCGCCTGATGAACCCTTCGACCTGCAATAAGCCCTGAGAAGACTGACACCCAAGAATGATGGGGTTGAGGCTACGTCACAGCGTGCCGCGAGCGACGGAAGGCCTGCAGCTGGAGTTGTTGAGGGAGCGATCGGGTCCGTCCGGCACGTGAAGGGGCTTTGATCGGATTTTGGGATGAGGTTTGAAGTTGGTTGGTGGCTTTCCGCGTTCTCCAGTAGCTGATTTCCGGCTTTCGCATACAAGACGGGCCCCAGCAAGGATCCAACCATGGCTTGTTCTGCCGAATCAGGGTCGAGGGCTGTTGTGGAAACGCAAGTTGATGTTGAATCGTGGTTGAAGGATGAGGTCGATGGGAGAATGAGAAACAAGGGAGTTGCACCATGTGGCACCTTGAGAATGGAGACAGCCGAGCAGTGTGGCATGCGAGGGTGTGAGTGAGTGGCTTGAGTTGGCTTTCACGATCTCTTTCCGCAATGCGGAATAATGCGGAATACCTTAGCTTGAGGGTGACCTTATGCAGTTGAAAAAGGCACTTGCACTTTGAACTCTGAGCCCCGAAGCCTTAACACTCTAAAGCCCAAGATTCCTAGAGGCATCGACCCCTTCTGAGGCGCACGAGCCTCGCAAAGGGCAATAATGACAATAATGATGATGAGCCTTGATCTGTAAACCTTAACCGTCAACCTGAGTGCCATAGTGCACAACATCCGAGTTCGGAGGCGGTGCTCTGTGACGCCTTCGCCGGCTGTTGCGTCGGGACGGGACAGTTCCTTTTCCTTGTAGGCTTGGCAAACGGGTCTTCTTGTGGCTTCTTGAACATTGAGTGGCATTAGGACCTGGAGCTTTTGCTGGCTGCTTTGTTGGTCTCTTGTGCGTTTCCGAAGCAGGTTCACCAGTCGTCTCCAAAGCGGTCGGCTTCATGTTTGGAACTTCGAGCCTGCTCCTGTCGGTTCTCATGGGCATCGTGGTTTTCAAGGCACGGTCATTAACAGCAGCTTCGAGACCTAGCAAGCGGCCATGGTAGATACATCGCAACAGTTGTTAAGAGTCCTAAGCCAACGGCGCCCAACAGCGACATGCGCACGCTGAAGACCTTCCTTTTGGTATGCTGTTGCTGCTCCCGGCTGCGCTGATGATCCACGTCTTTACCATCACGTGCTAGTAGATTGTCACGCAGTTGGTGGTGGTGGTAGTCGTGGTGGTGGTGGCGGTGGTGGTGGTGGTGGTAGTTGTGGTCGTGGTGGTGTTGGTGGTAGCAATAGAATAGTAGTAGTAGTCGTCGTCGTAGTAGTGGTAGTGGTAGTGGTAGTGGTAGTGGTAGTGGTAGTGGCAGTGGTAGGGTTGTAGTTGCGATAGCGGACGTGGTAGTGGTAGTGGTGGTGGTAGTGGTAGTGGTGGTAGTAGCAGCAGCAGCAGCAGGAGAAGGAGGAGGAGGAGTAGTAGATAGTAGGTAGTAGGTAGTAGGTAGTAGGTAGTAGGTAGTAGGTAGTAGGTAGTAGGTAGTAGGTGGTAGGTAGTAGTAGGTAGTAGTTAGTAGTAGTTAGTAGTAGTAGTAGTAGTAGTAGTAGTAGTAGTAGTAGTAGTAGCAGTAGTGTAGTAGTGTAGTAGTGTAGTGCAGTA